ATGGAACGAGTCTAAACTCGTTGAAGGTCCTAATAATTACTTATTCTGCCTCTCGAATCGGTCTTATGCTCGAATTCATTCCAACAAAACGTATGGCAGGGCGAATCCTTTATTAGAAGAAACTTCCGCTAGCTATGGGGGATCAAACTGGTACCAAAAAAAAATTCAATAGACGGAAACACTTCGTCTAGAATAACTGGGCAATCTCTGCCTACTTGCCAATCTTACAGGACCTCCCGTCTGGAACACCCTCGCTCCAGCCACGCTAAAAGCGTCGAAACTACGGTGTCAGATCGGTTACCCAAGGTCGCGCCGTTATACCCCAGGCTATACGGCATGGCTAAAACAAATCCCCCATCCTGCATAAAATTCAATCTATACCTCTTCGTTTCCTCTTGCGAGGAGGAGTTGAGTGGGAAATTCGGCTTGATCCTTGCCTTCCACTATCTCCAAGTCTGAGGGTCGGGATAGGGATCATTTATCCACAATCCTTAGAATTCAAGCTAAACTAAGATAAAAGAAAATCAAAGGAAAATTATACCCCCTAACGAGGGACCTAACAAAAGGGAGCGAATATTTTAACTAGATAGAGTTGTAGTTGTCCTGTTTGAGGCTTCTCGGTCCTAACAAAATTCGAAATAAAAAAAAAATAAAATAAAAATCGATCCTATTAAAGCCCTTAACCCTATTCTAATGTGTTTTGGTCTCACAATATAATAGTTTTTAACCTTCTTCTACATTTATTCCTCTTCACATTCACACAATTCAGTCACTGAGGGCATTCATCCTAAAGTTAGAAGCTGCTATAGACGCCAAAACACTCAATTATTTCTATCAAATAGACCCTTACAATAATAAAATCTTCTAGGATAGACGTGAAATCAAATAAAGTTACCTAATTAAAACAAAGTGGGGACCAAAGCCCTATTTACTTAAACGAAATGCCTCTGCACAAGCTCTACATATATATTAATTCATTATACTCACTAAATGATTGTTAACAATAACTGTTGACAAGTCTAAATAACCTGGAAGCTAATCTACCAAAAAAAAAGAAAGAATCAGTGTAACTTCAAAAACTGCCCTTGCCTTGACACTAAGCGACTATTCACGACAATTTTATATAGACACACACAAATTATTGGGGCGAATAAAGAACCATTAAACGTGACACCTCATAAAAGCGGATTGAGTCATTCCCCTAGCCACCGTGGGTGAAGTCACTTTCTTCTTACTTCCTCGTGCGTCTGCCCCCTTTGCAGTAGTCCTACCTCAGCACTCTATTGAAAGATGGATTTATAGGGTTTACGATTCACTACCCAACACTAACATTCTCAAGTGCTTTCCAAGGATCGACTACAGTCTGGGCCTACTTAACTTCTACCCCTGGCTTAGGGTCCCTATACT